GGGTTAACCCTCTCCTCTCTGCGCGCCTCCACACGCCGAGCGGGGCCTTCCTGCTGCCCCATGTCCTACAGTCACCGCCCTCGCGGCTGCAGGGGGGCTCAGGAAGCCCGCCCGGGGCCGGGGAGCGCCCTGCCCGCGCCGCTGGCGGAGGGGGAGCCTGGCCTCACGCGCCACGCCTGCCAGGACTACGAATACCTTGTCCCAAGGGCCACGCGGCTGCCATAATAAACAACGACACTAGTGATGGTGAAGTGCATTGCAAACCCGGCACCCCGCGAGAGCGGGCACAGAGCTGGGCCTCGCACCGAGCTTCCCAGAGGAGACTTAGCGCCCTGGACTGCCACAAGACGCCATGCCCTGGAAACCTCCCAGGGCCAAGGGCAGCCCTCCCTACAGTGCAAATGAGGGCTGTCGGGGTGGTTTGGACAGGGAAGGTCCTGGACTAGATCAGCATTTCTCAGCCTGTGGGTCGTGACCCAAAAGTGGGTCAAAAGAATACATGAAAGGGTTGCAAATCAACTTTAAAAATTGAATCACTTTTAAAGGAGAAAAAAGTGGGAAACCACAGCAGTCCAGCCTGCCAGGGGCTGCTTAGGGCCACTCCATGTCTCCCCCCACATTGGGGGGCTGGGGCCGGGGGGGCAGCAGGTCAGAGGTGAAGGCCACCGGGTCAGGACTGGCCATTGATGTTTACAAATGGGTCCTGGACCAAAAAAAGGTTGAGAGCCACTAGACTAGATGACCTCTGGGCAGTGGCAATGAATAGGGGTGCACTTGCATCCCCTGCATCCCCTGAGAGCGCTGGTGCCCCCCCTGAGTAGCCATGCTCTTTGCTTAGCCAATGGGCAGGCAAGAGCACTGGTCCCCCCCTGTAGCACGGCAGCAACTTCTGGAAGCGCCATGGCTGCTTCCCAGTCAGTGAGTTTTGCCACAGGGGACCCCCCCCCCCACCCAGTCACTGACTGATCACCACCCCCCGACCCCACTCCCAACTAAGGTTGCACTAGTCGCCCATGCCTCTGGGGGTCCCTTTGCAGCACTGCTTCTCTAGGATTCAGACACTAGGATCTGTCACTGAGCAATACACATCAACCCTTATCAAGACGGAATCGAAGGAGGAGAAAGTAGAAGGATTGTGGGTTAGGTTACATGGGGGTCAAGGAGAAAGGGATTTGGTGGTAGGGGTCTGCTACAGACCCCCACACCAAGGGGAAGAAATAGATTTGGGGCTCCTGATGCAGCTCTCAGAGACCATAAAAACAGGAGGCAGTAGTCATGGGGGACCTAAACTACCCACACATCTGCTGGGAGATGCAAACAGCAAAGTCCCACCGTTCACGCAGGTTCCTATCCTGTGTACAGGACCTCCACCTGCTGCAGGAGGTACATGGTCCCACTAGGGGGAATGCCTTACTGAACCTGGTATTGGCAATGGGGGATGACATGGTAGGGGACCTACAGATCAGTGGTCACCTGGGGGACAGTCATCACCAAATAATAGAATTCATCATAAGACGTCGAGTGGGTAAGGTAACTAGTAGGGTGAAAGTGCTA